GCAAATTGCAGCATTTTACAGCATGTTGCAGCAAATTGCAGCATTTTACAGCATGTTGCAGCAAATTGCAGCAAATTGCAGCATGTTACAGCATTTTGCAGCAAATTGCAGCATGTTGCAAGCTGGTCGCGCATAGGGCTAGTGCGCGAGGGACTCGGATCGGCAGAACAAAAAGCCGAGCAACACAAGTAGAGCAGAAAAAGGATCGATAAATAAACACAATCAATACAATCAATCAATCATCCCATACATCATATCCAAACCCATCATTCATCTCAGGAAGCCCAGAAACAGTGCTTCAATCTGACAAAGCTCGAACAGTATGTTGCAGCAAATTGCAGCATTTTGCAAGCTAGTCGCGCATAGGGCAAGTGCGCGAGGGACTTAGATTGGCAAAACAAAAAGCTAAGCAACACAAGTAAAGCAGAAAAAGGATTAATAAATAAACATAATTAATATAATTAATTAATTATCCTATATATTATATCTAAACCTATTATTTATCTTAGAAAGCCTAGAAATAGTGCTTTAATCTAACAATTAAGAGTCTTAGTGCCTCTATTAATACAAAATGGCCACCTAGCCTCCTTGAGACGCGACAGTCGTCCTTTGAGACCACACCGACTACAGAGCCTGGATGATGCAGCTGCAATTGAGATGTGTAGCGCACAGCATCTGGCCGCAAGTGGATCCTAAGTTGACCATCCAAATGATCTCTAAACTAAGAGCTCTAGAAATGCTGCTAATAGCTAAGTTTTTACTAGCCTTTAATGTTAAAACGCCTACGCACTTAAATAAGCTATTAATAAGCAGTGTTAGAGCCTTTAAAGAAGCTATTAAATACTATAAGATTAAAGCTAACAAGTATAAAAGTAATAGATATAATTATAAAAAAAAGTAATTAAGCTTTTAATAGATTATTATCTTTATCTAGTTAACAGTTAGCCTGCATCTGCAGCGTACATGCTGTTCCCTAGATTAACTACTTAGACAGTAGATTATAAACCTTAAAGCTATAGTAGGTGTTAACAACTAATTTAAATAAGAACGTGCGCGCAACTAATATAATGCATCCCTAAAGCTGCTAAGAAACGCAAGCATATAGAACCTGTAGCTAGCAGAGTATAACTACGCTGCTATAGAAGCAGAGACACAAAATGTTTTAAAAACAACACAGTTTAATGCTATAGCAAAGGACTTTTTAACTACTATAAATAAAGTTGCCTTTTATTAGTTTATAACTTTTTAGAAAAGTAGACAGTTTACACTAAACATAAATTAAAAAGAAATAATAAAGCGCTTTTAAGAACATATAATGTTAAATTATTTAATATATATAAAAGAGCATAAAGCTGCCTTTATAATAAATAACTTATTATACTTTACTAAAAGTAGAAAGACTACCTAGGGCATAAATAAGAACGCTTATAGTGCAGAAGTTATAATGTTAAGAAAACAAGGTAGACCTTAGCATTAACATTATTAAGAAAATAATAGAAAGTTATTTTTAAGCTAAAAACCTACTAAAATAGAAGGCACTAAATGTCCTACATATAGACATATTTATGCACTAAAGGACTGCTTCTATGTCTATCTAGACAGAGCACTAGACTAGTAGATGCTAAATAAGAGAGTTAAAAAGCTTATAGCATTAAAGCGTAAGCATAACTTAGAATTTTAAGGCCTACTAAAAGGGCAGCGTAGACATTATTTAAAAATACTAATTCTAAAAAGTTTACATACACCTATACTAAAGATATAAAAAGACTAACTTAAAAGCTAGAAAGTATTAAGAGTTAAAGTAGCTATATTACTAGCTATAGTTAATTTAAACTAGAACAGATATCTACTAAAAAAATTATTTATCTTTAACTTAGGCTTAATATGCTATATTATAAATAATTCTAATTAGATTTATAACTATTATTTACTAACACTAAAAGACTTTATTTAGTCTAGAAACTTTTATGTATAGATTTAAAGCTATAAATTAATTACACTAAGCTTAAAAAGTAAGCATAGAACATATAGTTAAGCATATAGTTTTATACTATATAACACTGCACTATGCCTAGACCTGCTGTGCAACCTAGTCTTGTTCTGCCTACTATAATAAAAAGGAATTTAGTAAGACATATAAGCAAAGCTAACTACTTTAAAGGCTTTAAATAAAATAATAATTAGAAATCTTATAAAGATCT